GCTGTATTCCATCATTTATACCTGGACTGTGCTTTTAGCATATTATCTAAATATAAAGGAGGTGTGAAGGACCATCACTCCATCTCAGTATGAAAAGGACCAAGTAAAATTTTTTGGCTGCATTGAAAAATTATTCATTCCAATATCAGCAATCTATACAAACTTCTTACAGTCTATCTCTTCTGCTAGATGACACAGAGGTAAGAGTTTCATCGGTCAGACTTTTTTTTTTTGACTTGTCAAGTGCACAGAAAAAATATTTTCTCAGTAGGACATCAGTCTGGATCTTAAAGCCAATTATGTTACCCATGTCAAGTTATCTATGGAATAGCTACCATAAAAATCACAAGCTCACCCTTGTCTAAGGTAGTGGATGCTTATTATCTTCTTACAAGGACACATTTCTACACATGGCCTCTGTCAAGCCCTATGTCTACTATTACCTTAAGTTGTCCATTCATCAGAGACATCATAAATTGAAGTTGCCTCTTCATTACACAAGTTTCTCACACACTCAAATATTAACACAGGAATCTCATTTCCTAACCAACAAAATAAAGGTATTTTCTAGATTACCAGTAAAAAACTCCATCAAAATAAGATATCTAAAACCTTAAATTTCATGGAATGACTATAGGTCAAACCCTGCACTCCCAAACCATTTTTATTTATATTTGTTCAACACAGTGGAAAAAAAAATCAACAAAGATGTCAGCTTTATCATCATGAACTTAAGCATTGAATATATTGATACATTTTTGACAGCAAAATTCCAAGTTACGATGAACTGCTCACTGGTCATCAGCCTTCTCTCAACTGCATATCCCTAGATAGGTAAAGACCTCTATACTTGCTCAATCTTATCCTATATTGTCAAACCATTTGACTAGTTTTGTCAGGATAATTTTAACATTCTATTCCAGGCCTTCTGCAGACCCTGCTTTCCTGGTATCATCTGCAAACTGAAGTGGACTTTTCAAATAATTAATTTCAAATAATTTTCAAATAATTTCAAATAATTAATAAAGTTGAAAAGAATACTTCCGTATTAATAATCATAAGGCAGTTTAATTTCTGGTCTAAGTAGAACATTACGTGTATAACCAAACCCTTCCCCCATAATTAATCTGAAGATTAGTGTCATTTTCAATGAAGTTGTAGTTGCAGGGACTAATGTACTAGCAGGTAAACAGTAAGAACACATACAAAATGAGGCAAGATGCAAATCTATTATAAAAAAAAGTGTTGTCTCACCTACTGGATCCACACCCAGAACAGAAATATAAAAAAGGGGAAGGGATAGAGGAGAAGCTTTCACTGTTGTAACCCTCCTTCATTGACCAAGTCATGGGAAATATCAGTTGAAGAAAAAAGGAAAACAACACAGTTAGGAAGGATTTTAAAGGTCTCAAATCTAGACCAAATACCGAAAGGCTACTATCTCTACAGATGTTACAAATTTGCCTCATCTTGCTTTGAATTTCTTATGCAATGGGGATTCTAGCTTACCTAAAGCTGTTATTCTGTGGTCTAACAGATGTCAAAGAACACTTCTAGCTATAGGCACTTTTGAGTGATAGGAAAAGAACATCCCAGAGCAATCAAACCGAGAAAAGCAGGTTAGAACGCAACGATAAAATACACTAAATACTGGGAATAGAAGTATGCACCAGGAAAAACAAACATTAATAAGATTTCCATAAAAAAATCTACATACATTAACTGTAAAATCCTACACATGGGAAATGCATGAAGAAGCTGATGCCTTTGAAAGACTTTATTAAATATGAAATCCAATAAGAAGGTCAGAGTATACAAAAACGCTTCAGTATTCATGAAACATTGCTTATCTAGTTGGACAGGAACCTTATGCTGAACTACAACAACCCAGTTCAGAAAAAAAGAGTGCTTTCTCAATTTCCGAATAGAAACAGGAAGAACATAAACCTGTCTGTTGTGCTATTTCTCTCCTTTCCAAATTGGGCAGGAAAGTTGAGCAGATACAAAATAGGAGTTAAGCTGAGGTTGACAGTTATTGATATTGACCAACTTCATAAAAAATTAGAGAAGTTACAATTTGTATTTCATTATTTTCCACAATTACTGCTTCAGGATTCTCATGAGATCAATTATTAAAATAAGTGGAATTTTAATTTCTTCTGCCAGAATAGAAGAACTATCCATAGTTAGGCATTCTCTTGCTGCTCAATACAAACTGACACATTTTTCTTAAAATGCAAGTTTCAATAATGTGTGAAATCATGTTTCAAATACTAAGTAGTCTTTCATGAGTATATTTTCTCATGCAAGCACACAATTCTCTATATGCAAATGTTATTTTTATTCTACGCATATTTGCCACGTTGAAAATGGATCTAAAAATACAATAAATGTCTTTAAGAGATAGCACAGAGATGTAAATATGTTAATCGAAGAGCAAAAAGAATGAATATCTTTAGTTGAAGTCAAAATGTATTTCTGGATAATACATTTCATTATTGTAGTAAAATGCCTAAAGACTGCTTTAGTTATTACACAGATATAAAGGCACCATTAATACATCTTAAAGTTCTTTGTCAAAGAACAGAAGCTGTAAGAAAGGAAGCTAAGGTGTTAGATCAAGGTACATGATGGCTTGAAAGCAAAAAAGACAGCAGCTGCAGTAGTGAAACTTCAACCACCCTTGGGAAGGAACCAGAGATCAGTGTCAAGTAAGCTTATAAGCAACAGAGGAGGGGGAAAGTTGGCTCAAAGACTAGACATTAGCTCAAATAGCTTTCAAAAAGCCAGTGATGAAAAAACTCTGCTCAACTAACAGTCTGGATCATTCAGCTTGATAATGTAATTATACAATTGACAGCTACCTTCAGGAAAAAGCTAAATATATGCTGGCAGAATTAAAAATTTGCAACTTGTCTCAAAAGGATAAAAGCTTGAAGTGAATCCCTTCAGACCCTTAAATTTATATGGCAGAATAAAAGAAAAATTATCTGTATTCTTGGGTACTTAGAATTAGCAGATCACTTAAGCATTTACATGAGGAAAAATTTGTCTGTTATTGCAGAGAATAGAAGCCTGATTCCATATCTCTATCAGCACCTAGTGATATTCACTACTTTCCTAAAGCCCAGTATCTCATTTCTAGTAACAAAAATTTCCATTTTTGTTACGAGATGACTGTCCTCCTCCACCACTTCCTTAAACTTAAATCCAATCTTAAAGAATTGTACAAGTGTGCTACCAGGTAGACCAAATTTTGGTTTCTTTACACCTTTAAAAAAGATTCAACATTTGGAAGATACTGAAATACTCCCTTAAAAGCTCAAACTTTTAATGAAGTATTTTTGTTATTTGATCTTTACTTTACAACGCTAAGAAAATACATGTTCACAAGTTTAAATTGAAAGATAACACCTGTTATGGTAAGTATACTATTTAAAAGTATAAAGCTTCCAGTTTAAATTCTGTTTAAGAGAAGCTTCAAACTGAAGCAGTATTACAAAGCAACACTAATCTTCCAGAAAGAAGGTAAACTTTATTTATATACCCTTCTGCAGCTTAGAAATTTACACAAACTAAGGTAGATTTTTGAGAGAAATAATTTTCTCTTCAAGAAGCGTCCATATTTCCAAATTTAGAGAATGTTCTCACTTTAAACATTTCTTCAGAAAAAAAAAAAAAATCAGAACACACTAGAAGCTTTAAATCAGTGCAAGTCAGTTCAGGTCAGCAGTCTTCATGTTATGTTCTTCACTAGCATTTGATTTCTAGAAAATACAGAGTCTAGTGTTTATGTAGAATTTCAACATATCACATGACTGAATATTTTCAAACCTCTCCTTCCTAGCTACCTCTTCTCCCATGAGCCCAAACACTCACCTGGCTGTTGGGAAAACAAGTCTTATTTCTGTCATACCTAATCTAGAAGAAAGCTTAGAATATGGTCTTTATACTCTAGTGAAGAGATCTTCACTACTCCACTACTCTTACTAGTTGCCCTGTAATGAGTTTCCCCATTGAGGCAAACCAATTTTTAACAACTGAATGAGACAATAAGCCCTATGTGTTCTTATTACCATATATAGGGCAAAATATGGATGTATCAGTCTACAACTTTTTAAACACTGAATTTGTTGAGGTGAATTCATGTTTGTTTTATCAACACTGATTATACCAGTATTTCAGCTTTCATCTCGCTTGCATCTCTTCTAAACACTGTATGACAAAGTCCTGCTCTACAGTAGAATAGATCCATGAGTAAAGCGTCATATTTGTAAGTGCAGATACCAGTTCTCCCAGCAAAGAGTACTTTCTTCAAAGTAATTTTAATCAGTGGCACAAGTAAACAAACTTATCATAGCAAAGCCCTTTTAAGTTCCATTTTGCTAGGTCTTCTGCTTGTGTATAATTACATAATCAAAAGCTTAACCTAAAATTCTGCTGGAAAAAAAAAAAAAGAAAATCAGACACAAAAAACACACAAGTGTGACCTAAGAAAAGTGTCAAGTTGCTATTCTCAAGAACAGAAGGCACCATGCTTTAAAATGCCTATAAAAAAGGGAAGATCAGATTCCAGTGAAGAAAGTCACAATCTCTGCCAAGTTAATTAGTGTAGATATGTCAATTAAGAAAAAAAGCCCCAAATTCTTCCATACATATCACACCATCATTAAAAGAAAGAAGTATCAGAAAAATTCATTCAGAAGTTAAGACAGCATCAAATAGTAGCTTTTATTATTTTTCCAACTGATATCTGCAGGTTAAAGAAGGGTCTTGTGCTCCTTTCAGGATATTCTCTGAAGGATATCTCATCAGATAAAGACCACCAGGAGAGAGATCTTGGAAAGAGACTTGCATGCTCCAGAAGCACATGTGGTTAATACGGTGCAGTCAATCAGCAGATGTAAGCTGCTAAATTGCATTCAGTGCTTAGACCACTGATACTGCTAATTCCTGGTGCTTGGCATACAGGAAACTTAAACAAATAGCACTTATTCCTAGCTCGGCTGTTAGGAATTCAGTTATTAAGTTATTCACTTATTAAGAAATCTTTACCAGGAGACAGGACAGATTTGACCTCACCTCTACAGCCTCAGAAACACAAGATCTGAAGAAAGTTCTCACCTAGTTGGCTTTCACTGATCCAGAGGCCAAGCTCTCCCTTAGGCTGAGTGGTTGGCTCATTGTGACCAGCAATGAAATGGCCTTCATTGATGCATCAGCTAGGTTGCTTTATCAGCTCATTTGTCTGGTATTTTCTGAAGAGCAGTTTAAGAAGCCTATGTCAACAAAGTAAGATTAACATCAATGTTTTACATGTACTTCAAGATATTTGGATTAACATCTGTTCCAGATGTCAGATCTCAGAATGGCAATCCAATATAAAACAGACTTTCCCATATAAAATGTAGTTCTGTCAAAAAAAGTTTTAAACTGTAGGTTGTTGATATATTAAGAAATTTTAGAATAAACAGGTTCATTTCTCCAAGGAAACCATGGAATTCAAGCAGCACACCAAAAACTATAAAGAGCCTACAAGCCCAATTTAGACCAACAATAAGCCTTATACTAGATGAACTACCATTATATTGCAGTATCCCTCAAAATAAATAATGGATTCAATGTAGTCTGAAGAATGTTTGCAGTGCTTACAACATACTGAATACTAAAATCAAATCATACTTGTAGCAATTGAAACAAAGAAGATGCCTAAAACCAAAATGTGTGTTATGTATAGAAAGAAGCAATTGTCAGGAGAGACGAGATAATTAATACATTGTAATATTAAGAATATCTGCCTGATAAGGGAGCACTGCTGACCTAGGGAGAGCTTAATTACAAAGTATGGGAAACTTAGAACAATACAAATGCCCTACCCCTTCTTCCCCCTCCCTTCAATATATTGGCAAAAGCAGAGTCCTCCTGTAATCTTGGCCAAGAGCTGTTCTTTCTTGATCTTTCTTCTAACCTGTTCTAAAGACACATGATGGTTTGTTTAGACTCTAAAAATATATTGTCTGCTAATGAGTGCATCATTAATCCCAAATATTTACAGCTTTCTGTTGATAATTTAAGTAGCAGAATGAAACCAAATTAAGATGAATAACAGTGTTAACAACCCCTAGTTCATGAGTGTTTTAATGGATTTTGACTATTTGCAAAGCATAGCTATTTGGGTGTCTTATCCAATTTGATAATATTGCAAGCAATACAGGCCATGTGTGTTGAATACAGCTCTTCACATCTTTTCATGAAGAAAGAACTAGAAGTGCTGCAGTAAAGAGTATCACATTCTACTACTCTTCAGAATGGCAATAGGATACAAACAGAGTTACATGGCCAAATTTATCATTTTTTATGTACAGCTGTCTGAAGACTTTAGCATTCCTTACCTTTCGCAATGGAAGGATATGTGTAGAGTGAGCCAGTTCACAAGTCCAGCTATAATAACTGCTCAGACCCTCTCTTGCAGAGGGTTCCCTTGAAGGACTGAGCTCCTGTTCCTCTCTGCCAATATTTATGTATTTCACAGTTATACTTTGGTAGAAAGCTCATAATACCACAAAATATAGAATAAACAGAGTATATACCAGGAGGTAGACATACAAAATCCATTACAAATGTTAGCATTTGAGAAGCAAATATTTAACTGCACAGGCAGACTGCACCACTAGAATAGCTACTCTGCAGATGGCTGACCAGCTGCAAGTCTATTTATTTCATAGCATACAGATGTTTGATTACATACTTGTTATGTAGGAGATCATTGTGCAGCCAGGTGTTCATAGGGTCAAGTAATCAAGCACTGTCTGATTATAAAGAATTCATCCAGGCCTATTATCTCAGTGATTCACCAAGTACCATTATTCTTATTTCTGTTTATCACACTAATTGACACTCGTTTTCCTTGAATTGCCACCATTACAATAATCAGAATTATCTCAAAATAGTACACTTTTCATATGCTGAATGTAATATGCATTCTTATTACATAACATGTGTAGCCACTATGGAGGAAATAAAGGAAGAATGGGAGATTGGTAACAGTGAGCAGGATCTTTTATTTATCTTTGGCTGGGAACTACAAGGTGGCCATTATTTTTGGTAATCTGGTTCTTAATTCTTCAGATAGTACAACTCACTTATACCTTCCATATGAAAGCCAACTGATGAGTCAAGGAACAAACTAAATCCTCTCTATACTATTTGAGCTTTCCCCTCTCTTTCAGCATTTAATATTTTAATATTGACTAGAAGAGAGAAGTATGAGCCTAGAAACCTATGAAAGTTATTTCAAAGACTATGGAAAACTATAACCCAAAGACTTTATTAGCAAGCTACAACATGGCACTGAAACAAAATCTGTGTTTCCCTTGAATCCTGCCAGTAAGATGAACAATCACAACAAAGCATATTTAGCAATAGGAAGTTACAAAAATGCAACACAGCAGACATCACACTTATGCAGAGCTGACATGGATTACTATTGCAGCGGTATCTACTGTCAAAAGTATATTAGCTCCATAATTTGCTTACCTTTTCTAGGACTCATCTTTTTACAGGAGGTCTGTATGTGATACTTCAGGCTTCCACCTCCTCCACAAGATGATTAAAGGTAATTTACTTCACATGAAGCATCCACTAAAACACTGCTTCTTTTACAGAGAGCAAATCTACCCCCTCCTAAAGAGGCTAAAACAGACCTTCTGTGGCTTTTAAATCAAAAACTACTTTCAGGTGGACCTGATAACCAAATCACCTGGCACAGTTCCAGGTGTGGTCATGGGGCCTTCATAAGCTTTCTCATTCCTTGCAATCTCTGTCTTCAAGCTGAAGTGTATTCATCACACTACCTAAGTTAGTACTTGAAAGTCTCTGTTGGCTCTCTAAGAAACTAGGTATCAGAAACGAATTGCAAAAGGAGTCAAATAGGGTAGTAAAATGTCCAAGTGTTTCCTCAAGTAGTAAAGCTCAGTTATTATACTGCCATAACTCATCAGCTTGCACAAGTTGCATGGAATATCATTAAAATGCCACTTTTTTATTTAGTAGTAGAAAAAATACTTTTCAAATTTTAAAAAATAATTATTGTGTTTTCACAGAAAATTTCAGAAATGTTTAGGAATAATGTACTGTCAGAGGGGAGACCGTGGAGAGTTTTCCCCCAGAGTCATCATCAGCTTCATAGTCCTTCCACACTCTTCCTCCCAAAACACTCACATTTCACAGAGTGATTATTCATGCACACATATATAGCTTTCTATGTTGACTAGTTGTGGTAGGATTTTAAGCTATACTTCATGTTCACTGGAACAAAATTACAAATAACTACAGATTACAAATAAGGCAAGCAGAAAGAAGAATAAATCCCAGATACTGTAGTGTGTAAGATAATTTTCTATGTGCTGCTGGACTTCCTAACAGCAAAATGAATATAGTGAGACAGTGGAAATTAATAATAGTGCATTTAATTCACTATCTAATTGACTGACATACATGAAATCTAAGTTAAAGCACTGTGTCCAAAAGAAAAACAAAAAATTCTGCAGACCCTCTGGAAGGCAGTCTTCATAAACCTTGCACAACTTTTATTTCAAGGGTCACTATATGACATACATAATTATGAAAGTAATAAAATTGCTCTCAAGTAAGTACCTCAGTAAAACTAGGCAAAATTAAATATGTGAGGTAGAATAACCTCATATAAAACAGAACCATTGAAAAAGATCAGTGCAACATTTTCAATAAACCTAAAAGTCTGAGTCATTTCCTGTGACATGAATTCTTTAAGCAAGCTTTAACAATTGATCTTATAGCCTAGTTGGTTCTAATTTCCCCTGGAATCGTGGGAATGGGAGGTGAGGGCTGAAAAAAAAAGTGCCTAACTGGAAAGGAAATAAAGCCCATACTAAAAGATCTAATATTACTTCTCTCATTAGTTCTTTGAGGTTTGTACAGCTATCAACTTACAACTTATTAGAACTTATTATCAAAACCTATTAATTACTGAAGATTGAACTGAGAATCTGATGAAATAGGGTATCCTGAAAAATCCTGATCATTTTACTTCTGATTTCACACACAAAATTTAATATAAAGAAAATTTTATTTTTCAATAAGACTCAATAGGACTGCTTTGTTCTTTCTATTTAGAGTATGCACTAAAATAGGAAGTGAATTTTAATTTACTAGACATTTGAACCTTAGAAGATTTAATGCACAGGTCATTTAAGAAAAGAAAAAAATGATGGTCCCTGGAAGTCTCAAGGGGCAGTGTTCTCCAATGACTCTAATTCTATTTTTGTAAGATAATGTATTTTTTCACCATTAAGATCAAAACATATACTCTTTCTTCTGGTTCTCTTAACTTTACAGAATGTAACCATGCTCGGCTAAATGAGAAATAACTAGTCGACTGATTTGCAGTTAGATAGTTTTAGCTATCCAGTTTGTGAACCCTTGGAACTACGGTGATATGGAAGCCAACTGCTTCCATGTAGTTTCCATATATTCTCAAATGTAGAATAAGCCTGGACAGGACATGCCTGGTTTAGTGTGCTCAGAAAGAAACCTTTTATCAGCAGGTCAAGATTAGTGAAATGCTGGTGACTCAGTTTTGTGAGCAAGTGCCCTGGCCATTTCGTGTCTACCAAAGTAACATGTGAAGTGCAAACAATTGCTTCATTCACAGTTTATCATTCTAATATTGCATTTCTGGACATCACATTGAAAATTCACATGTCACAGCTCAGTTTTTCAATCACATCTGGGTCCACTTCACTATGTGTATTATTGCTGGATTATAATCTGTATCCCATTAAATGAAATTGTATTAAAAACCATGAGATCAGTGAAACATCGCCTGTAGACAATTAACACTCCCTTTAGGTTCAAATTCTGCTGTGGAAATGAGGGAGAGTTTGTTCTGCAGGACCACCGTGAGGAAGGCCAGGACTTCACGGGGAAACACTGCAGAAAGAATGGGATGTGCTCTGCTTTCACTCCAAAAATGAGCAGCATGTGCTGCCAGCTGGGGAAGAAAGCTGGTCTCAGGCAAGAAAGCCACTGAGTGTTATGTTTTATTTTGGACACTGAGAGTTTCTCTCTAACAAGCGAGAGGGAAATGTTCTACAGTGGCATGACTCTCGAGGAACCAATATCTTCAGTTGCTCTGGGCTAGATACAATTTGAAAGCTGGAAGTTGGGATAAGCATAAAATTGGACTGGATAATCTGTCTCATTTTTTGGACCAGTGTCTGTGATTATGCTGCTGTTACCACTGGTATTGATCCCTTCTTCTAACATTAGTAGTACTGTTTGTTTTTAGAGCACTTGTCTGTTTACTGTTCTGTAGTTTTTGTTTGGACAAGAATAGAACTGATTTCACAGCCTTAACTTTTAGTTCTTCTGAAAAGCCCAAAGGTTGCGATTAGTACAAGCGTGTTTTGCATAATGAATCCTCAGTCTTAGGTTCTTTTTTATGCAAGTAATCCAAACTCCATAGCAACCCTCCTGAGAATTGTCAAGAATAGCAGGGAGGCCGTGTCAAACAGTGCATGCCTTCTGACTGTTCTCTAAGCAACACACTAAGCAAACTCTACAGGGACAGTATTCTCTGCTTAATTTTCTTGGCAGCAGCTAACAGCTAATATCCACCAATTTGAAAAATGATATAAATGGCCTTGCAATAAACCACATGAGCAGACATTATTTATCACCAACAGATACAGAAATAGGAGGCAGGGAAAGCAACCCCAGGTAGGAGGTATTTGCACACTTGGTTCTATCTGCAAGTAAATAATTAAAAAGAGTAGGTTGCTTTAATGTTTTGCTATTTAGCAAATAATCCATAGATTCCTATTTAAAAATAAACCCTGCAAGCATTTGGTTAATTGCTGTCCTCTAGACAATTCTGTTTGTGTCTTTTGGGTGTGGGATTAGCTGTAATCATCATTAAAGATTTATTTTTAAAGCCCTCACTAGCCTTTATGCTCTCTAATTTAGAGAGACTTCATTCTTTGATATAAATCAAAAAGAAAGCATGATATTCACCTTATTTGAAGACCTCACAAGAAAGCAATAAGTTCCATAACAACCACGATGAGTTTCCCAGTTCAGTTAAAATTTTGCTTTCTGAATCCAGTTTAGACTGCAATCTGTCATTCACAAAGAGATCCCAGTGGCTTGCAATTACAGCTAGGAAGATACATGTATAATTTATATACCTGAAAATGTGCTGTGTGGGAAGACTAGCAAACAGAAATGTTGCAGTGTGCAGTGCAATCAGGACTATGCAGTGCAAGGTACATCCCTAGTATTGGTATTCTGTGAGTAGGCGGGAAGATGGAGGTAAGAAATTCTCTCTTGGACATAAAGAACATACAAAGACATAAGTCTGTAAGAACCTCTTTTCCTCAGAGCTTACCAGAAAAAAAAAAAAATGAGTAGTAAAAGCAGACATCAGGATAATGAGATTTCAAAAAGCATATGAAGAAAGAAGTTCTGTTTCTTTTTATTTCTTTTTTTTCCCCACAGCCTTATGCTACTGGAATATCCAAGTAATCAATGTCAGATCCTTTCATGATCACAACTCATTCTGTACGCAGATCTATTCAATATTATTCCCATTTGACATATGAGGCAAAAGGGGAAGTATGGACATACTTTTTTAAAAAAGCTGATTAAAAGGACCAGCACTGTATTTTATCACCAGCACTTGTGATGGTGGACCAGAACTTCATAAAAAGCTGCCTCCCTGCGTTTTGAACTGCTCTGAAATTCTACCTGCCTCATAGGAGAACAGGGGTGGACAAGTCTGTCCTCACTACAGATGCTATTCAGAACATTTTTGTCTCCCAGTCTCAAGTAAGAAACCTACTTTGCCAGAAGAAGCTCCCAACACTGACTATAGGAACGTAACCACAAGATTATTTTCTTTTTTTTGTAATAACTTACCTGGGGCAGACCAAATACTTTCCTGTTCTCAACAAATCATTCTGGTTTACACAAAATATATATAATATCCTCTGCTCTTAAAGATTTCATGTAAAGAACTTTGCTAGGAGAAAAATATAACAAGAACACATAAAAGCTGCAATTCCCATTTTTGCAAGGCCAAAAGGAGTAGTAGATTAGTACTGACTATTGACCAACCACTACATACTATATACCCTCCATGGTATTATGCACTTTCTTAACATCATTGTTAGTATGGCCAGTGCACACTGACTGACTGGCAGTAGAAGGGAAAGCTCTTTCCCGTAGCATTTTACAACACTGAATTCTCAAGCCACTTTCAGTTCAACCAGATTTTGCTTCTGGTCAAACTATTCTATGATCATTCATTGATGAAATGTACTCTATACCAAGGATTAAATTTACAGGAGGTTATCTTCGTTACATCCTCAACCTAGGTCTGCTGTCATGAAAGGCTACTTCTTTTTTCTACATTTTTTTTGAGGGTAGTAATAGTGTGAGTGTAATAGTGTTATTTGGAGCAGTACACACAGTGGTGACCAGCTTACTCAGTTTGTTGCTTTGAAAACAGTAGATATAAGAGGAACACAGCAATCTTTATACTGGCAATATCACTGTTTTGTG